GCGAATATTGGTGTGGCTCCTGGCCTCAGATGCATTTTCACAGGAGGCCTAACTAGCTTCCCAGCTGATTGGCTGAATGTTTGATTGTGCTTATTCAACAACTGGTCAAGCCGGGCACTCCATTCCGGAGAGAGTGACGCTGAAAATACCTTGAGGCCATGAACCATTTCCGGTGGAAAAAGCTCATTCCATCTAATTTCATTAACAAATTGGCTGATCCACTCGACTCCGAAAAGGGAATCGTACTCTTCTTCTACGATGTAAACAAACAACCGACGCATTGTGGAATTAAGCCTTACATTGACGAGTAGACGGCCTATGCATTTAACGGGATGGTGGGAATAGCTGACGAATTGTCTGTCTGCAGGTACTAATCTGCTTTCCTTTATATTGATTGCGCGCATTGTTTTCTTACTAATGATATCCGTTGGCGCCCCTGAGTCCAATTCCATCTGCACTTGCGTTCCTTCTATGTCAACATCAATCAGCTTTTTTTTGCACTTTGCTACCGCGTCTACAGAGCTGAGCTTATTTAAATGCATGACGATATCCACGGCTTCTGTTGATGGGGTATGCTCCTCCTCCTCATAGTCTTCATTCAAGTGTATTGTGTTTTTCTTTGCCTTGCAGACGCGGGCTAAGTGTCCTTTTTTCTCACAGTTATGTCACTTTAATTCCCGGTAAAGGCACTCGTGGCGCATATGCGGGCCTCCGCACCCGTGGCAGGTTAGCTTAGGATACTCCTGAGATTCGTTTTGGTTCGACTTGCATGGAGTAGCAGTATTGGGCGTCGCTGGCGCGTTTCCGTGCGAGCCAGCGCGACGGTTGAACTGTGGCTTCTGTTGCTTTGTCGGTAATGGAGTGGTTATGAGTGCATGAGATGAATCTAGCCTTGTCGATTGGTCGTTCGTTTTCATGGCATCCGACGTCTGGCGTGTCACTTCAAGTGCGTGCCACTTCATATGCCGCTTTGAAGGTAACTGGTTCTTTTGCGATAATTTCATCACACATATTCCTATTTTCGAGCTCATGTAGAAATTGTTCAATAATCATGCGATCTAAGAATGTCTCATAATCGCAACGGGCTGCTCCCTGCCGTAAACGGAGTGCGAAATTAGCCACTGTTTCACCATTAAACTGTTTTATCTGCCGGAACTTAACACTTTCTGCATATTTGTTTTTCTTGGAATCAAAATGGTCGATTAGTGTCTTTTTTATTTCTACAAAAGTTAATCCATCAGGTGTCTTGGGAGTGATCAAACACTTCAGGGCATTATTCAATTCGACTCCCATGTATACTAATGCGTAATTGGCATATAAATTTGCTTGGACTTCGCTTAGTTGGAGCTTGCGTTCAAAGCGTTTGAAATACTCCTCAACCGTTGTTCCTTCCGAGGATTGACATTCTCTGTACGAAAATGGTGGTGCTTTTGCTCGTGGAGGAAGGGCTTCGTCTTCTTGCGTAGATTAAGTTAAAGCCATTGTACTAGCCAGAGATTCTTTTATAGCTGAAGCGAGCATCGTTGTCAAATTTCGCATAGCCTCCTCCAAGAGAGCCATTTTAAGAAGCTTCTACGCTGATGTCTTCAAGAGGTTAGGTTCAGTACGCGTATTCGATTCCAGCTCTGACACCACTTTTGTATTTACACTTCGTTTACAAGTTGGATAGAGGGATGACTCAATTAATACCTGAGTAATTAAAATATAAAACTTTATGACAGCAACCTTAACTGATGGATTGCAGTGAGTGCACCTCTTACCTTGTTCAACTGCTAGAGCATGACTGACTGCGTCGTGAGAGTCTAATACAAAGTTAGAGGGCGTGCGTTAGATTTAAATAAGATACATAACACAACTCCACTGGAGTAATAGAAGCCGCTAGGCCCAAAACCCTATAAGGATTCTCGTCCAATAAGGTGAATTAGAATTACTATCTGCTATCAAATTGAAAAAAATGTTTAATTGAGAAAATCAAGTTAAGAATAAACCAATCAATAAAATAAAAAAAATTTTTTATCGCCCATTGATATCCGAAAATAAACAAATAGTCCAAGATTTATTTAAATTGGTCAAAAAAATTCCAAAATATGACTGAATTCGAATTTCAAACCGTGGTCCGATTGTTTGGAAGCCATATAAAATAAGGTCCCCTTTGCTGTGTAAGTAATTGATCGCATTAAATCTGAGACGGTTTTTTAATATGCCAATGACGACAGCATATACAAGGAAAGTAATACAGTGATGCAGAGCCTATTGGGCATAGTTCTCAGAAATGGCTATAAACAAAAAAAAATGACTGATTTTACACATGTACATGCATAGGCAGACACTTTAGCCAGCATACTCTACTTTGATTCTAAACTTTATGAAACACATTAGTATCATGGTATTCCAATATGTGATTTTTCGTCTATTAAAAAACTTTCCCTTTAAGGAAGCAAAAATTTGTCTATAGAAATTTTATAAAGAGCTACTCCAGGCTAAGCTAAAAAGAACCAAACCTTTGTAACTTTGATGTCTAATGCAACCTGGACGATATTTTGTGGAAACTATAGCCTTGATGGATAAACATCTCGCATTTGGTCATGGCTCTTGTAGAATCTGGTCTAGAATAATCGGTGAAAAATTGGTTGCCACCTACGCTTTGTATCACGTGGGTGCCGAGCTCCCTAATTAAAAAATATTTAGCTTCGTACAAACAAGGAATAGGAATCGACGACTGCCGTATTTTATTTAGTAACCATTTTTTCTTATACTCTACAAGGTGTGGTGACCTGTCTAAGTAGAGATTGCACTTATACGATCATGGTACACAACTTTCTTATTATGAAAAAACTTTTAAGCTAAAGATTATAATGATTAAATCTCTTAATTAATTACAATTTAATCATTAATGTCTGACTAAGTAATTATGCAGACGTTAAAAAAACTATTTTCTACCAAGCCATTTACGTATCGTCAACAGTGTGTCAATTTCACGTAATCAAATATGTTATTTGATTAATTAGCCAATGGCAATTTTTTTTTCTGTAAATTAGAAAAATAAAATAACTCAGCTATTAGTTTTTTAAAACAAATTGAATAACTTGTACATCTCATTCCCATTCGTCACCCTCAAAAACTCTATAAACGAAATGCAAGTTATTTACATTCTCAATGATTAATTTATTATTTGTCAATTTTTTTAGCTTACGTTTTTGTATTAAAATACTTCTTTGGACTGTTAAATACATAATGTACTGCCACGCGTGTATCATATTCTATCGCACCGCTGTAAGTACCGCAAACACCTCAAAGATTTTTGCAAATTTACTGACATGTATATAATATACTGCCACGCGTGTGTCCTTTTCTATCGCAGTGCTGTAAACACCGCAAATACCTCAAACCAACGGTAGTTAGCTAAGTAATTGGTTAAACGACTTTAATCGCCTACTTCAAACCATAGAAAAAAAATTTTGTATGTAGCTAGTGTTCCAAGAGTTTTTTTTCATTTTGGTTACATCTTGATATTATTATTATTATTATTATTATTAACAATCTTGTAGTATTTAATCATTTTTCATTTTGNTTATTATTATTATAGTTATTATTATTCATCATATGTATAGTTACTTTTTCAATAATGAAATCCAATAATTATCTGCTTACATGAGTATTTCATTGGTGTTTTCATATTTTCACATTTTCGCGCCTTCGTTTCTATATTTATATCATTGAATGTCAAGCGCAACAGTGCCAGTGAGTCTAAATAAGTGAGCTCTAGGTAAAAGGAGCAAAGGGGAAGGGATCGGAAAGACGTATTGCACTTAGTTATTGGTTTGCTATAGGTCTAGCGTTGATGGAGAAACAGCAGACTTCTCTACGCATATTTAGCTAAAAGGTGGCGTAGTTTCCTGACATGAGAGTGTACTGAAAGAGGCCAGTCACTGCGTCTCTCCCTTTCTCTCTCTCTCTCTTTTTCCCCAGCCGCAAGAGATCCATTCGGGGAATGGGTGAAAAAGGGAATAGAATGTGCCAAGCGAGTCCGAAATATAGTCGGTCCATGTCAAGCATCAGCGCAAATGGGTACGTAAGGCTACTTCCGATTATCATTTGTTCAATTAACATAAGGAGTTTTTTCTAATAAATTAATTTTGTTTGGTTTTTTATTCTTTTCCTTTGGCCTCGCGTATTCACCCCATCCAGTTAGCATCATGGTAGTCATAGCAGCTGACGTTGAAAAAATATTGATTTAAACAATTTCAGTTTTATATATTTGATTAGACAATATTAAAGCAGCTTTATTACAAATATTATTTAGTGAAACCATAGCCGAGCATTACCTTACATATGGAATATAAAACATAAAATGTAACATATAAAATCAAAACCAATAAAGCATATGTCAGAAACACAAGCTTCTTTTGAATTTTATCTGTGAGTATCAGATTCCCAAGTATAAAGTCTGGGCAGCGAGCTTTTAAAACTTACCTTGTAGCGCTTCCATGCTACCGAATCAGTACATATTATACTCGCTGCTTGTTTGTTTGCGTTATGTATTATTAATGCGTTATTAACCCGTTTTGACTGCGTGGCAGTAACATTTACTACTACTAAGCACCAGGCACTAGGCAACGTCTTCTAAGACGCTTTATTGCATTGTAACTATTTTCTGAAAATTAAAAACATTAAATTTTACGAAAAAAATTAAAAATGAATGTGAGAAGTGTAAATACTCTCATCAGTCAAGTAAAAATGATAAAAAATAAGAAACGAGATTTAATATTTTGCTATCTTAATATATAAGTTGAATATCAGATAATATTGCTTATCATAAATTTAATTGGATCGATGATAAAGGTCACATTATGTTTATCATTAAAAATCTAACAGAATTATTTGCGACAAAGTGGTATTCTATGTGAACTTGAACATTAATCCATGTAGATATGTGAACTCTTGCGTTTACAAGTATTGAACTTTTCATAAAAATTATCTCATTTTTATTCTTTTTGTAGGACAAATGTGCTAAAAAACAGCCACCGATTGAGCAGCTTGGCAGTTATGACCCATCCCCTAATTTTCTTAATGAAAAACTTGTAGCTCTCAACTTCGAAAGAGTGCAGCATTGGATTGGCCAAGGAGCGAAAGTTTCTCGCCCACTTTTAGAAATTCTAGGCCTTGCTGGAATTTTACCTATACATCCAAGAACATATATGAGAGCTTGGAGAAATCGACCTGTGTAGAAGAAATGGAATTTACAAAAACTTTTTTACTTTTATTTGTTGTATAGTATTGTTTTAAATTTGATTTTAAATTACTTTTTTTATCTTTACTATGTGTGGTAAAAGTATTTTGATTTTTTTAAATCAAAGTTTTGAATGAGTATCAGAATTTTATCAATGTATAAAAATAAGTCGTATTTATCATACAAAAGATCCTCTGGGCCTAAAGTACCTTCTGCTTACGGTGCAAAGTGATTTACCTAAAATCAAAATTTATAAACTTTTTCATTTATTTGGGAAATTTAAAACTTACCATGAAAACAACTTGATTGGTATGTTCATATGGCCGATTTTTAATAATTAACGACAAATCACAAGATGTACAGGAATAATTATGTATATTGAATTACTTATACTAAACACGGTAACGTAAGTTTAATATATAATAAGTATGCTACCATCTTAACCAACAACCCATTCCAAAAATTTTCATTATAGTTAATACTTAAATAGAACAACTTGTCTGAGCTTTTCTGCCCATCGTTAACTTACAGTTTAGCCATCAACATTACTACGAACAATGAGCAAGTAAAAATTTTTTCTATATTGTTACGGTTAATTTTTCCATAAATTTTTGTAAAAAGTTACTAAAAACATTTAAAACATGTTATAAATAAGTGAATTTATTTAAATTGTATGTGTCAAGTTGAATATTAAAAACACTTTTCAGAAGTGCGTAAGGGTTATGAATTAGTTGTTGTTTTAATCACTAACAAAATTTTTGTGTTCAAAAAACTAAAGATAATAACACTTTCTAGGTTTTCTAACTGCACATCATATTAATTTCTCTATAGCTTTAGCTTTTACTGTTCATCATTGGGTTATTTTTCCGTAAGTACCTGACGTTGCAAAATTATTAAAATCTCGTAAATAATACACATGTTATATTTTACTTGTTCATCACTGGAAAATTTTTGTACGTCACAGGTAATTGGAAACTAATAAAATCACTTGAATGAAAATTTTGAGACATAATCAGGTAAGTAAAATTATTGACATTTTATTATTTGTGTGAAGCACGAATTTTGTTATTTAAACATTGACAAATAAATAATTTGAAATAATTTTTTGATTTTCCGTACGTCCTAATGTTACTCACACATATCATTCATTTTATTTATCACATTTTTGATATGAATAATAATTTTATACTTTTGTAAATACAATATCGATCGGTGATTATCATTCGGAATCAAATTTTTTTTCTTGAAAAGTGTGCTGATTTTAAAAGAAATCAACAATCTGAATTAAAACTAGATCTGAACGTATTAGGTGCATGTGTCTGAATTATTTTGGATTTTTGTTCATTTACTTTTTTTTTCACGGCAAAGCCGAAAAAATTAAGTTGTCAAACTGGGGATATCTTTAATACAAAGTACAGTATAACACCATGCAACTGAAGTGATTTGTACATTATCTCTTATATTTTACAGATAACACTTAAAGGTGATTAAACCATGTTATTGATGCATGTAGTATAAAAATGATGAAAGAAATTTATTTTGTACTAACATAAATTAATTAAAATTATTTATTGATTCGCATTCGGTTTTTGTCTGAATTTTACATAAAGAGAAAGTAGGTTCAGTGTTGTTTGGTTTTTTCCAAACCAAAAAATTAATGACATAAATTTTTCAACTTTGTCGTGCCCTCCTGTGGATATTATTCAGAAAATTGTAAAAAATAAAATTCTTAACAATGAAACAATCATACAATGAACAGTTAGATCCCGCAAAAATTACAATTCATACTTGAGTAAGACCTGCTTAGGTTTGCGTGTGAGGCAATCACATCGATTAATTCGTCGTGAGCAGAGGCAGTAATATTTATTCTCAAATGTTTATATAACTTGAATGTTAAATGATGTAACAAGTGTGCAAATTTTATATCTGACAAAGGCAAAAGGTCTGACCTATCTCTCAAACCCCCGAGTTTAAGGTAGACTCCTCGGTTACAATTATATCGGATGGAACTTCAAGAATTCGTATATGATAAACAATAATTATCTTCAGCCCGAAATTTAGTTCAAATGATAATATTCACAGTAAACGTATGTACGCTCATTGGTTTGTTTACTTACTGCGGTTAAAAGAAAGGTTTGGAAATAATAATGATTACTCACTGATGGGAAAAGTCTCGAAGGCATAAAAAAATCCATGATGATAACAAGTTGATTCACAACATGACAAAAATACATCGATATTCTGTAGGAAAGTAGCAAAAATAAGGTTCGCACCTGGTGTAAGTATTTCGGACCTGGTGGTGCAAATCACCAAGGCACACACACGGAGTCTCTCGGGCCCTGCTTTGCAGTTCTCTTGGGCCTGGTGCTTGCGCTGGCGACATGCGCCACCAGGTACGAAAACTACTATTCTCAACCTGAAAGTCACGTGACTTTTCTTAAAAATTACAAACAAAAGCTCATAATACAGGAGCGGCAGAGGGGGTGGGGATAAAAAGAATACTTCCCACGCACTTTCGTTTTGGGTAGAAAAATCCCCACGCACTTTCGTTTCGGGTGAGAAAATCCTTCGCAAAATTTTTATGTACATCTAGTAAGCCAATAACCCAAAACAGCCGAAACAATGCATATAAGCCTGGAGTTTCGTACAAATACTCCTCAATTTCATGAAAATATAGTTATTAAAAGCCTATAACGGTACACTCTAAGTTTTTTTAGCCCCGTTATCCTATAATCCAATAGTTTCAAATTATTGAAATGAACAAACAGCTGATAAATAATTAAACTGATTCATTTTTAGTACCTAGGTAGGTTATTCTTTGCTCTACTTTTCCATTTGATTTCGAGGGCCTCCAATAAGATGCATGCATCGTGTGCGATCGTGTGCTGTATGACTAGTTCTATCTTTTTATAGCTCAGTAAACTTTATTTATTTGTCTGTTTCTCATGTCACACGGCACCCATATTGTCGAGACCATGTTAAGGGGACTCGAGTGCTCTACGTGTTAACATTTCAAAAACATAATTAAATAAGTTTATTACATTTTCCGAACCTTCATATTTTCATATGCAACAAAAAAATTTTAAGTCAACGTTGAAAACTTTAGTTAATCATCTTTACTAAATTATACTTTTTAATGCGCTTAAAGAGAATGTATGCCTAGCAGACCACATAATCTACTACTCAACGTCAATAAAAAATCCAAAGTATATAAAAAAAATTTCAGCTAATTTATTTTCTACGTAGTTTACTCTGATATATAAAGTTCTGTGTTCACGCACGGTATTTTAAAATATTATGAATTTTAACGAGTGTCAAATTAATTGCTGTAAGTAAGGTAAAGTACCCAGTAGTTGGGCAAAAATAAAAATAGCACCAGTAGTTGAACAGTCAAATATAATTAACATTTTCGAATAGAAGACGTTTTCAAATAGGAAAAAAAATTTATTTATTATCCATCAATGCATAATAATGCCTGATGAAAAAATTTATCTTTAAAACTCTTTTTAGTTTTTATGTAAAAAAAATATGTTTTAAATACGAAGCACGTAAGATTGCTGTCCAAAAATAGATCCCTTTAATAACATAGGAATGTTCCAATACTTAGTACTTGGACACGGAAAAAATCGCTAAAAATTATAATTTATAGTTGGACATAGAACGTTCAAGTTATTTTCTAACTAAAGTTACCTTGCACAATGTATATTATTATAATTTTTATTGAGTTTATCAGAGTTAAACATATCGAGAAATATAAATACTTAAATAACTCTGTCCAAGAATAGCTTCCATTCGAAAACATAAGATTTTTCCTATGCCTGGTACTTGGACAGTAAAAAACACTTAAAATTATTGATTATTACTCAATATAACATGTTAATGTTACTGTGGAAAACCAAAATAAAGTTGAATGATGACCAGAAACTATATTTAGTGAAAAAGATTTTATAATCATTGAGTAGTTAAGAGATGTGGGAAAGCATTTTGAAATTAAGTCCACCGTAATCTCCTTTTCATTTAATTACCATGGGGTATCCAACTACTGGTCCCAAGTCTCATGTTGGTCCCAGTACTTGGACACTGGTGTCCAGATACTGCCACGGAAAATAATTTTAAGCATAAGGAGATCAAGTACGTGTGCTTATAGCGTTCAAATCATTTTGAATTCCTACTAAACAAGTATTTGGACTACCTAAGATCAAAGATTGTGTCACACTCGTTCAAATGTGCATTGAACTCGTAAAGCACAAGCATGAGAGCCACGCTGCCTATAGTTTGTGCGCGCACAGTACGGCGCAGCATTGAACTGTAGAAGCTTGTGGAGGGGAGCCCGTGGAGCTCAGCGATCGTGCTCTCACAGCACAAAGTCTGGGCTCTGCGTGTTCAAATCTTCATTGAGCTCTGCAATGCTATATTTTGGGCTGAGAAAGCTAAATCGTGCGTATACCTCCTTGGCCCTAAACATCACCGAACTGCATGAGCCTAATAACTGGGCTTAATAATATACTAAAGGCTTACGGACAATGACCACAGTGAGTATGTGTATATATACAACGGAAATAGTTTTTTAACAAAGATATGAAAACTGATAATATTTTAGATATTATTTTAGATTGAAGATATTTCAATAAAATAGTTATTTATTCAGATTACATTTCGTAAGTTTTTACAATATTTGAAAATACTTGAGTGCAAAAATAACAAGTTTTCGATGTATTTTTTTAAAAATCATCGTACTTTTGTATGTACAGTATGTACAAACGGATTTACAATTCTATTTGATAAATTTTTTCAAAAAATTATTGAAACAAATTTTATTTACATTGTATTTATTTATACGAAACATACCTTAGGCCATAATTTATGTTAGTTGAGAGAGCTGTGATGGGCAAAACAAGATCTAATGAGTTTAACCAAAGTTGTTCGAATCACACAACTACCAATATGAATTTTGTTACTCAATACACTAGTATAGTAAATGGATCTAATATATATTAATCTTAGAGTCTTAGATCCTTTTTAATAGCTAGTTAACTAAATAATTCATAAACGTGATGTTTTATTAAATGGTGACACGAATAAAAAAATTGGAGGGGGTGGGGGCGAAATAATGTTTTCTTGTGTAATGAATAATTTATTTAAAAAATATAGTTTAAGTTGCTTTTTTTCAATTTAAATATCGTATCTGGTTGCTAAAAAATGATCACTTTTTATCATTAACCGTAGTGGACTGTCTTACTACACTACACATTAATGTAATCACAAAAGTGACAAAAGGCTTGCACTGCAAAAGCACGTTAATATACACGTTAGTATATACCTATACTATCGACATAATATGAGCCCAGACTTTGTGCTGTGAGAGCACGATTGCTGAGCTCTAGGGACTCTCCTCCACAAGCTTCTATAGTTCAATGCTGCACCGTACTGTGCGCGCACAAACTATAGGCAGCGTGGCTCTCATGCTTGTGCTTTACGAGTTCAATGCACATTTGAACTAGTGTGACACAATCTTTGATCTTAGGCAGTCCAAATACTTGTGTAGTATGAATTCAAAATGATTTGAACTCTATAAGCACACGTACTTGATCTCCTTATGCTCAAAATTATTTTCTGTGTGGGTCT